CCAGACGCTTTCGACATCCCGACCCCTCGCACTTACGCTGAGGCGACCTCGGGACCTTGGGCCTCGCAGTGGATAGCTGCCATGGAGCAGGAGATGGCATCTTGGAGATCCACCGGCACCTTCGTCGACGCAGTTCCCCCGCCTGGGGTGAACGTAGTCGATGGCCGCTGGCTCTTCAAGGTGAAGCGCCCTCCTGGAGAGCCGCCTGTGTTCAAGGCGCGCTACGTGGCTAGAGGCTTCAGTCAGCGTGAGGGGATTGACTTCTTCCAGACCTTCGCTCCGACCCCGAAGTTGACTACTCTTCGGGTTCAGCTACACCTAGCTGCTCAGCGCGACTACGAGCTTCACTCCCTCGACTTCTCCACTGCCTTCCTTCAGGGCAGCCTACACGAGCAGGTCTACTTGCGTCGCCCTCAGGGCTTTACTGGCACCTTCCCTCCTGGGACCCAGTGGCTCCTGCGGCGCCCCGTCTACGGCCTGCGCCAGGCTCCCCGTGAGTGGCACGACACTCTCCGTGCTACGCTTGCTGACCTGCAGTTCTTTCCGTCTTCCGCAGACCCCTCACTCTTCGTTCGTGCTGGCCAGACTCCGTTCTACATCCTTGTTTACGTTGACGACCTGGTCTTTGTCAGCAGACAGGGACGCACTGGCCTCCGTGAAGGCAGAGCTGCTGAAGAGACACACGTGCACTGACCTTGGAGAACTGCGCCGTTACCTTGGCTTGCAGATCTCCAGGGACAGAGCAGCGCGCACCATCACCCTGACTCAGTCACACTTGGTGCGCCAGGTCCTTCAGAGGTTCAGCCTTCAGTTCTCCTCCGCACAGCCCACCCCTCTGCCTGTAGACCACAGACTCTCCGCTCCAGTGTCTGAGGAGTCGGTTGAGCCCAGCAGCCCCTACGCAGAGCTGGTGGGTTGCCTCATGTACCTGATGACTTGCACTCGCCCAGATCTCGCATACCCTCTCAGCATCCTGGCTCGCTTTGTGGCCACATGCAGACACCGACCGCAGCACTGGTCTGCCGCTAAGAGGGTTTTGCGTTATCTTGCTAGTACATCGGGCATGGGGTTAGTGCTAGGAGGACGCAGGCCAGTGGTCCTTACTGGACACACCGACGCTTCGTGGGCAGACGACGCCGTGACACTCAGGTCTACCCAGGGCTACTGCTTCAGCCTTGGCTCAGGTGCCGTCTCGTGGAGAGCTACCCGCTCCTCGTCTGTTGCCCAGTCCAGCTGTGAGGCCGAGATCTACGCTGGTGCCATGGCGGCACAGGAGCTCCGCTGGCTGACCTTCTTGCTCACTGACTTAGGTGAGCGGCCTAGCTCTGCCCCGGTCCTGTTTGCTGACAACAGGGCCATGATCCTCCTGTGTCAGGAGCCTCGACTCGAGGGCAGAGCGAAGCATATTCAGCTGCGATACTTCCTCCTGCACGAGCTACAGCAGCGACGCCAGGCTCGCGTAGTACACTTGGCCTCAGGTGCCAACACAGCTGATATCTTTACGAAGGCGCTTGCGCCTAAAGATCAACAGCGGCACTGCGGCACAGCGTCTAGTCCTTATAGCCTCTCACTTGCTAGGGCCTTGACTTTGTACTGCCTTTTTATATGTATACTCAGACTGGACTTGTGTCCTCTACCAGTGGCTGGACTAGTAGTGCCGCCCTGATCTTGTTCTTGCCTTGTCTGTACTCCTTCTGACTGTTCTTTTAGACCCTTGTCTCAGAGGTTGGACTAGTAGTGCCGCCCTGAGCTGCTTGTTCAGGACATTCCCCTATGCAGTCTAGGGGGTGTGTCAAACATGTGTATTAGTTATGTTTGCATAGACTGTATAGGGTCACCTCTTAGAGGGTACAATATTTAGGTATATCTATCTGTACTCTCCCACTACTCATCATTCACTTCTCTCATTCTGATACGGAAGGCTGAATTGCGTTGGGGTGTTTGGGCTGAGGATGAGGCACGCTGGTGTTCCATGCTAGGTTGGAGCCCCTGTATTTTTGAGAAAAATAAAAGCATTTTCTTTTCCGTGAATACATCTCATATGCCTTTAGGAGATTTTAGGCAGGCTGACAAGCCTGGGGGCCTAAGGAATCAAGGTTGTATGCCGTCGTGGTACAAGGGGCAGTGGTGTGATACCCTGTGGTGTGACGTGACTTGTGAGGGAGGGAGGGCCATTTATTGGAGGCATCGATCTGGTGCCTCCGTCACCACTCCTGGGTGCCCTCCCCAAGCCCCTACCCTCTTTATTTGCACACTCCAAACCAAACTCTCATCTTATCAGAGAGAATACTCCCCGCTTGTTGCCTCCTGTCTGTTACTTCACCCCTGCACTGCACCCCTCCACCTCCCCGCTCGGGTCACCACAGCTACGCTGCCATGCCGACCTTCACCGCCCCGCGTTACTCCTTCCCAAAGAGCCCCTCGCGCCGCTTGGCTCAGCGATTAGCACAGCAGCCGACGATGTAGACGACGAGCAGCAGCAGCAGCAGCAGCAGCAGGGACACACCCGGCACACGATGAGCTTGGACGCTCCTCAACAGCCACCGGAGCCACGCTGACGGCTCTCACCGCCCCGTGATACACCTTCCAGAAGTGACATTTGAGTCGACTCACACCTCGTCGCGTCACGCCTTCCTGGAGTGCCTTCATCGTCGTGTTACACCTTCCCGAAGAAGCCTTCTCGGCGCTTGGCGCTGCGGTAGGCGCAGCAGCCGAAGATGTAGACGACGAGCAGCAGCAGCGAGACGCCCAGGCACACGAACGCCACCATGCGCCACTGGTCGCGCAGCGTCTTCAGGAACCCCGCCTTGCACGTGTCGCACTCGTAGCACAGCCTGCTCACCTCGCTGCCGTACAGCAGGCAGTCGCCGGTGGAATTGCCGGCCAAATTAGACAGACCCGTGGAGTTGACTGCGGAAGCGAGAGCTGTGGCGGCTGCGTCAGCAGAGGCATTGGCGGGGAGGGCCACGCGGGAGGTGGCGGAGAGGGGCGCGGATGGGCAGGACTGGGGGGGGTAGCAGCAGCCAGCCTGCGGGAGAAGAGGGGGAGGGGGGGAGAGGGGAGGAAGACGACTGTTGGAGGAAACGGTAAGTCTTATAATGAACCGATGGAGGCACCGGAGCCTGGATTACTGATCTCATTGCGAGCCAGGTGGTCGCACCTGAATGGCGGAGAGCGTGGACGACGCAAACGTGATGTTCTGGTTGAGCACGGCGCACGTGTTGCCCGCGGCGAGGCACGCCTGGATGGGTGCCCACTTGGCCTGCTCCGTGACCAGCGTCTGCAGCCACGAGGAGAAGTCCGTCGTCCGCCACGACCCGATCGCCTTGTTCGATACCGCGTCCGCCGCGCTCTGATTCGTCACCACGAATGAGAAGGCTGCCACGTGACAACGAATTGAGCAGGAGAGGAGACGGCAGGATGTGGCACATGTGAATGGATGCTTTTCTGAATGGACCATGTTCAAAGCGAGAGCTCTTGAAGTTGGTTTCTAATGAGTGAATAGCGAGGGTGGGTAGGGAAGCACGGGAGTTCCTACCGGTGACTCCGAGGAGCACCCATATAGCGAGGAAAACTACAGCGAGGTAGATGAAAAGTAGCCACGTGATGTCGTTGACGGCGCCGATGAATCCGGCGAGAGCCACGACGCACAGGACGCCGCCCACCACGAGTAGCGGCATGCGCAGGAACTGCACGCACTCTGTGGCACCCGCTCTGCGCGTGGGCGGGAGGAGACATGGTAACGATTTGACATTTCAATCCGAGTCGAGTCGGCAGGAACTGCACGCACTCCGTCGCGCCCGCTCTGCGGGTGGGCGGGAGGACATCATGGTAACCAGGTGACTTCTGAATCGACGCCGAATCAGAGATCGGCGGGATGCGCAGGAAAGCTGCGAATCACCGCTCCTTGCGGGAACTGCGCGCATGACTAGCGGTCATCCATCATCACCATTTCGAATTGTGAGTAAGCTGTATCAAAGCTGCAAGGAATAGGACCATGAAACGTTTTATGCACCTATTGCGCGTCATCCATAACCACCCGACGCTTATCTATGACCACTGTCCGATAAGCATCTGCGAGCAATGGAGCACGCATGATTACTTGAATGTCATCCATAGCCCCGTTCCGATGAGCACTAGCGACAGCAGCACGACCAGCGCCGTCGATATCGCCGTCAGCGTCTTCGCGACACCCATGAAGCTTGATTCGGGTCGGAGACGACAGGAATGGCGCACAAGCGAATTGAAAGTGACAATACGTGCGATGGCTGCTGCCTGACTGAGGAGGATTATGACTTCGAGGTTGGCTGACAGGAGCAGGCAAGGAGGGTCTAAAATGCAGGAGGGCGCCGGATTTCTCTTTCTGAAATAAGAATCACACTACTGGACGTGAGAGCTCGTTATCGTTACTGTAAATACTAGATACCCGAGGAAAGGAGCTCAGGGACTAGCAGGGCGGAGCATTCCCAGTGCCACTGCTGCAATGCATTCAAGGCCCTGATGGAATCTTGATTTGCATGCGCTGCGAGAAACATTGGTGGTTGCGCGAGATTCATTCGAGGGGGCGCGCAATTATTGGAGGTTCAGTAGCTTGGAGTTGTAGAGTTGTAATTGGGAGGAGTGCTCGAGATTCAAGCGAGGTCATTCTGCTCCCAGGCGATGAGTTTGCGACAACTGTTGCGACTTGGTGCGCGACGACCGCTGTTGACTCTCGCCTGCTGAAGTGTGAGAGTGAAGGGGTTACAGCAATAATCGCGAAGCTCCAGACTTCGACTGGGCGAAGAATTGCGCATGAGATGCACTTTACCGTGCGCTTTCCCTTATAATGTAAGGAGAGCATCCCTTATGAGAGCTCTCTAGGAGCAGATCTCTCAAATATCCCACCCTAAAACACACCCATCCACTAGTCGCATTAATCTACTATGCCATTGCATGTTGGTGCTCTTATGGGGATGGTTCCGAGTCCTCTTAGTAGCAATATTTCAACACAAAAAGTGGAAGCGTGGTACGTAGCTATGGATTCCTTTACAGAACAGTCTTCTCCAGGATTGCAATACAATTGGTTTCTACAGGAATTTTGAAACAGGCTGACGAGCCTCATAACCATTCCCTAGCACCCTAGGGAACATGCTGTGATCCAGGATACCCTGTGACCTCGGAAGGGAGGGCCATTTATTGGAGGCATTGAGACAGTGCCTCTAAGCTTGGTTGGGCGCCCTCCACTACCAGCTACACTCCTCCTCATTATTTGGACTGTCTAAAGTACTTCTCTCCATAAACCCCCCAGTTGGTGCCTCCTGCTCCTCCATCCCTCCTTTGCCCTCTACTGCTCCGCTACCAGATTCCACCTCCTCGTGTTACACCTTCCTGAGATGACTTCTGCTCGCGTCACACCTTCCTGGATTGAGTCGTGTTACACCTTCCCGAAGAAGCCTTCTCGGCGCTTGGCGCTGCGGTAGGCGCAGCAGCCAACGATGTAGACGACGAGCAGCAGCAGCGAGACGCCCAGGCACACGAACGCCACCATGCGCCACTGGTCGCGCAGCGTCTTCAGGAACCCCGCCTTGCACGCCTCGCACCCGTAGCACAGCCTGCTCGCCTCGCTGCCGTACAGCAGGCAGTCGCCGGTGGAATTGCCGGCCAAATTAGACAGATCCGTGGAGTTGACGGTGGAAGCGAGAGCTGCGGCGACTGCGTCAGCAGAGATGTTGGCGGGGAGGGCCGCGCGGGAGGTGGCGGAGAGAGATGCGGAGGGGCAGGACTGGGGGGATAGCAGCAGCCAGCCTGAGGAGGGGGGCAGGGGTGGGAGGGGTGGGAGGGGTGGAAGGGGTGGGAGGGGTGGGAGGGGCGGAAAGGAATGAAAACGGAAGAGAATTGGGGCAGTGAGAGAGGTCGCTCTGCCGTTAGTAGCTTCCGAGACAAAAGAGCGACCATACATGAACCGACGAAGGCAAGCTGGACGCACCTGAATGGCGGAGAGCGTGGACGACGCGGACGTGATGGTCTGGTTGAGCACGGCGCACGTGTTGCCCGCGGCGAGGCACGCCTGGATGGGCGCCCACTTGGCCTGCTCCGTGACCAGCGTCTGCAGCCACGAGGAGAAGTCCGTCGTCCGCCAGGACCCGATGCCCTTGTTCGATACCGCGTCCGCCACGCCCTGATTCGTCACCACAAACGCGAACACTGCCGCGCGACGATGGGTTAGGGATTCGGGGAGGGGCGGGAGGGCGGGAGGGTGAGCGGAGAGCAGCACTTTGGAAACGTGTGCGAAACCAGAGCTCGAAAAGATTATCTTGAATAAGCGAAAAGTGAAAGGGGAGGGAAGAAAGTGCTGGATCGTAGTACCTGTGAATCCGAGGAGCACCCATATAGCGAGGAAGACTACAGCGAGGTAGATGAAGAGCAGCCACGCGATGTCGTTGACGGCGCCGATGAATCCGGCGAGAGCCACGGCGCACAACACGCTGCCCACCACAATGAGCGGGATGCGCAGGAACTGCACGCACTCCGTCGCGCCCGATCTGCAGGTGGACGAGAGGGAGAGACGCGATGAAATCCAGTAAGCTGCGAGATGGATTCTTCTCCGCGTATGCACCGATTAGCGGTCATCCAAAAACACCTGACGCTCGTTGTGTGATAAAGATCCTTAACTAGCAGCTGTAGTCCACGCATAATTACCTGGTTGTCATCCATATCCCCGTCCCGATGAGCACTAGCGACAACAGCACGACCAGCGCCGTCGAAATCGCCGTTAGCGTCTTCGCGACACCCATGGAGCTTGATTCAGGTCAACGACGACCAAGAGTATTCCACAATAAAAAATAAATTGGACGGACCAACCACGGCTGGAGCCTGACAGAGGAGGAACGAGATGCTGGAGGTCTTCCGACTGAAACGGAAAGGGAGGCTGAAGAAGCACCAGCGCACCAAATTAGTCACGCTCTAGCCCTCAAATCGCACGACTATGCTTGAGCGCCCGTTCTCATCACTGAAAGTACTCTCGCGAGGGAAGAAGCCCTGTGCAGGAGTTTCGGCGTGAAGGGTGGAGAGAGGAAGGCGGACGAAAGGCAGTGACGACACGGCAAGCAAGCACGGAAAGAGCGAGCTAATCACCTTCGAAGGGGATGAGATTAGCAGGGAGGTGTGTGCCTCATGGTCAGAAAGATGCATTCTAGGCCCGTTTTGAACCTTGATTTACACGCGCTGCGGGATGCATTCGTTCAGCCTTCAAGATTTGAGCGCAATTATTGGAGCTGGTCAGGGGTTGTAACAGGGTAGAGCTCTCGAGGCTCGACAGAGGTCGTCGTGCGACCAGGCGAAGATTTCGCGACGCCTGTCGGTGCGCGACGAAGACCTGGTTGGTTCACGCCTGTTGCCGTGCGAGAGACGGGGTTACAGCAATAATTGTGAAGTTGCAGGTGGTGTTGACTGGCTGAATTCTCGTGAACGAGGTGCATTGTACAATGCGTTGCAGATCTGGTAAGGTAATCTACATCAATGTTATATGAACACTTCTTGTGAAACCTTATACAAGAGCAAAACGAAGCATGATCGTCTGATTTACCATATGAGAAATCCCGTGTTATCTACTCCCAAACGCATTAAGCCCCGCCCAACAAACAACCAATCCACAAGTGACTAGTCGTACAGATCTATGTTAGTGCCTGCTTGTGCCTCCACATCTTCATCCTCGTGTTGATGTGCCACTGGTTCAGGTGCCATGGGTGGAGGTGCCCCCTGTGGAGGTGCCACTGGTCTTGGAGAGCTTTGCGGTCTCTCCTGGGAGCGTGGCGGCGTTTCCATGTACTCATCTGGACCCACACTCCTCCCGCCGCCCTCCGATCCCCAGGTCTCGCTTCGCACATGCCCTTCCCCTTGCTCAGGTGTCCTCCCTCCCCTTCCCCTACCCGCCCGCCCCCTCCCACGGCCCCTCCCTCTCCCTCTCCCCCCACCTCCCCGCGGCGTCCTTGCCTCCATGGGAGGCGGGTTGCTGCCACTCCAGGTCTTGTTTCTCGAAAGATCCGGTTCGTCCATCCCGTAATCACTGTCTCGGGGTGATGGCATTTCTCCGATCCTCCCGTACCCCTGATGCTGATTCATCGGGCGCCTGGGCCCCTGCCCCGACATGGGGCGGGTAAACTGCGACCCATCCCTGCCGCTTTGGTAAGTGTTGGCCCTCTGGAACTCCGGATCCCCGCCAGAGCTCTGGTAAGTATTCACCCGATTGAATTCCGGCCCGCCCTGGCTCTGGTATGTGTTAACGCGGTTAAACTGGGGCCCGCCTTGGCTCTGGTACGTGTTGACGCGGTTGAGGTGGGGCCCCTGAAAGCTGGCGGTGCGGCTCATGCTGATGCTGCTCCTGTCGTCCAGCAGCCGCCTCTTGTCATCATCCCTCTTGCCCCGGCCGCACTGCGTGCAGCACATGATAAACGCCACCACCAGCATGGTACTGGCCACGCCCACACTGAAGTACGCCTCGGTGAGGAAGTCGGACTTGAGCTGCTGTATCACGCCGCCCTTGCAGTACTCGCAGCTGTAGCACAGCTGGCTCGACTCCAGGCTGAACGCGCTGCAGTTGCGGGGGTCGCGCCCGGGAGCGGCGGCGGGGGGGTTTTCGGTGATGGGAGGGGCGTTGGTGGTGGGGAGGTCGAAGGCGAAGGAGAAGTAGGTGGGTAGCGAGGAGTTCACGAAGCAGTTCTCAGGGGGCAGGCAGCACCCCGCCTGGCGTTTTGGGGCGGAGGGAATGGGAGAATGAGGGAATGGGAGAATGAGGAAATGGGAGAATGAGGGAATGGGAGAATGAGGGAATGGGAGAAAGCAGCAGTTGGGGTTGAGGCATGCGTGCACAGCAAACATGGCGAAGAAGCGTTCCTTCAAGCTGCTGGTGCAATGTGCCCGCATGTGCTCCCGCGCATGCGCATGTGCACCAGCACGCAAGCATTCTTCAAGCTGCTGGTGCAATGTGCCGCATGTGCCGGCATGTGCACCAGCAGCAGCAAGCATTCCTTCAAGCTGCTGGTGCAATGTGCCCGCATGTGCTCCCCGCGCATGCGCATGTGCACCAGCAGCAGCAAGCATTCCTTCAAGCTGCTGGTGCAATGTGCCCGCATGTGCTCCCCGCGCATGCGCATGTGCACCAGCAGCAGCAAGCATTCCTTCAAGCTGCTGGTGCAATGTGCCCGCATGTGCTCCCCGCGCATGCGCATGTGCACCAGCAGCAGCAAGCATTCCTTCAAGCTGCTGGTGCAATGTGCCCGCATGTGCTCCCCGCGCATGCGCATGTGCACCAGCAGCAGCAAGCATTCCTTCAAGCTGCTGGTGCAATGTGCACGCATGTGCTCCCCGCGCATGCGCATGTGCACCAGCAGCAGCAAGCATTCCTTCAAGCTGCTGGTGCAATGTGCACGCATGTGCTCCCCGCGCATGCGCATGTGCACCACCAGCAGCAAGCATTCCTTCAAGCTGCTGGTGCAATGTGCACGCATGTGCTCCCCGCGCATGCGCATGTGCACCAGCAGCAGCAAGCATTCCTTCAAGCTGCTGGTGCAATGTGCCCGCATGTGCTCCCCGAGCATGCGCATGTGCACCAGCAGCAGCAAGCATTCCTTCAAGCTGCTGGTGCAATGTGCACGCATGTGCTCCCCGCGCATGCGCATGTGCACCAGCAGCAGCAAGCATTCCTTCAAGCTGCTGGTGCAATGTGCACGCATGTGCTCCCCGCGCATGCGCATGTGCACCAGCAGCAGCAAGCATTCCTTCAAGCTGCTGGTGCAATGTGCACGCATGTGCTCCCCGCGCATGCGCATGTGCACCAGCAGCAGCAAGCATTCCTTCAAGCTGCTGGTGCAATGTGCCCGCATGTGCTCCCCGCGCATGCGCATGTGCACCAGCAGCAGCAAGCATTCCTTCAAGCTGCTGGTGCAATGTGCCCGCATGTGCTCCCCGCGCATGCGCATGTGCACCAGCAGCAGCAAGCATTCCTTCAAGCTGCTGGTGCAATGTGCACGCATGTGCTCCCCGCGCATGCGCATGTGCACCAGCAGCAGCAAGCATTCCTTCAAGCTGCTGGTGCAATGTGCACGCATGTGCTCCCCGCGCATGCGCATGTGCACCACCAGCAGCAAGCATTCCTTCAAGCTGCTGGTGCAATGTGCACGCATGTGCTCCCCGCGCATGCGCATGTGCACCAGCAGCAGCAAGCATTCCTTCAAGCTGCTGGTGCAATGTGCACGCATGTGCTCCCGCGCATGCGCATGTGCACCAGCAGCAGCAAGCATTCCTTCAAGCTGCTGGTGCAATGTGCACGCATGTGCTCCCCGCGCATGCGCATGTGCACCAGCAGCAGCAAGCATTCCTTCAAGCTGCTGGTGCAATGTGCACGCATGTGCTCCCCGCGCATGCGCATGTGCACCAGCAGCAGCAAGCATTCCTTCAAGCTGCTGGTGCAATGTGCCCGCATGTGCTCCCCGCGCATGCGCATGTGCACCAGCAGCAGCAGCAAGCATTCCTTCAAGCTGCTGGTGCAATGTGCCCGCATGTGCTCCCCGCGCATGCGCATGTGCACCAGCAGCAGCAAGCATTCCTTCAAGCTGCTGGTGCAATGTGCACGCATGTGCTCCCCGCGCATGCGCATGTGCACCAGCAGCAGCAAGCATTCCTTCAAGCTGCTGGTGCAATGTGCACGCATGTGCTCCCCGCGCATGCGCATGTGCACCAGCAGCAGCAAGCATTCCTTCAAGCTGCTGGTGCAATGTGCACGCATGTGCTCCCCGCGCATGCGCATGTGCACCACCAGCAGCAAGCATTCCTTCAAGCTGCTGGTGCAATGTGCACGCATGTGCTCCCCGCGCATGCGCATGTGCACCAGCAGCAGCAAGCATTCCTTCAAGCTGCTGGTGCAATGTGCACGCATGTGCTCCCCGCGCATGCGCATGTGCACCAGCAGCAGCAAGCATTCCTTCAAGCTGCTGGTGCAATGTGCACGCATGTGCTCCCCGCGCATGCGCATGTGCACCAGCAGCAGCAAGCATTCCTTCAAGCTGCTGGTGCAATGTGCACGCATGTGCTCCCCGTGCATGCGCATGTGCACCAGCAGCAGCAAGCATTCCTTCAAGCTGCTGGTGCAATGTGCCCGCATGTGCTCCCCGCGCATGCGCATGTGCACCAGCAGCAGCAAGCATTCCTTCAAGCTGCTGGTGCAATGTGCACGCATGTGCTCCCCGCGCATGCGCATGTGCACCAGCAGCAGCAAGCATTCCTTCAAGCTGCTGGTGCAATGTGCACGCATGTGCTCCCCGCGCATGCGCATGTGCACCAGCAGCAGCAAGCATTCCTTCAAGCTGCTGGTGCAATGTGCCCGCATGTGCTCCTCGCGCATGCGCATGTGCACCAGCAGCAGCAAGCATTCCTTCAAGCTGCTGGTGCAATGTGCACGCATGTGCTCCCCGCGCATGCGCATGTGCACCACCAGCAGCAAGCATTCCTTCAAGCTGCTGGTGCAATGTGCCCGCATGTGCTCCCCGCGCATGCGCATGTGCACCACCAGCAGCAAGCATTCCTTCAAGCTGCTGGTGCAATGTGCACGCATGTGCTCCCCGCGCATGCGCATGTGCACCAGCAGCAGCAAGCATTCCTTCAAGCTGCTGGTGCAATGTGCCCGCATGTGCTCCCCGCGCATGCGCATGTGCACCAGCAGCAGCAAGCATTCCTTCAAGCTGCTGGTGCAATGTGCACGCATGTGCTCCCCGCGCATGCGCATGTGCACCAGCAGCAGCAAGCATTCCTTCAAGCTGCTGGTGCAATGTGCACGCATGTGCTCCCCGCGCATGCGCATGTGCACCAGCAGCAGCAAGCATTCCTTCAAGCTGCTGGTGCAATGTGCCCGCATGTGCTCCCCGCGCATGCGCATGTGCACCAGCAGCAGCAAGCATTCCTTCAAGCTGCTGGTGCAATGTGCACGCATGTGCTCCCCGCGCATGCGCATGTGCACCAGCAGCAGCAAGCATTCCTTCAAGCTGCTGGTGCAATGTGCACGCATGTGCTCCCCGCGCCTATGTTGGAAAAAACGCACAGCAAGCTTTGCGTATTGCGTATATACGCTTGCGAATATACGCAATACGCTGATACGCTTGGAATACGCGATACGCAAT